GGGAAATAGAGAATATAGAAGATGCAAGAGGGAAGATGAATACTACATTTAGAGAAATTAAGGGAAATAAGTAAATATAACTTGTCTCTGTGTGTTGTATATAAGTATGCTTGTATAGGCGCATGTATAGGGATGAATACATGTGTGTGTATACAAAATGGTTAGTTGGGTAGTAGATAGATGAAGAGATGGATAAGAGTTGGATAGGTGGTTAATTAAATTTGTAATTATGATGTTATCAGTTAGCCCTCCTCCTCCTCCTCCTTCTCCTCCGTCATACTCTGCATAATTTTTTTAATGACTGCTGATATATGTAAATGTATAACAGAATTGTTCTTCTCCTTCTGGTTGTTCTTCATGTTAGCTTTCTCATCCTTGTACTCATTGTATATGTCATTATAGTTGTAGAGAAGGCGCAGAAAACATTTCTGTAAAATGTAAAGGAAATAAATCCCTTTCTAATCAGATCAACATATATATATATATATATATATATATATATATATATATATATATATATATATATATATATGCATGTGTTTGGATATTATTCATAATAATACACACTACGGATTGATATCATCGTTCAATATTTTGCTATGATAAAGAAAACAACGACATTTATTATCAGTAGTATGTATAGGAGACCTTAACTTTTGACTAGAGATAGATTCCTATTTTTCCCCTCTTTAACTACTCTCTCTTTTTTTTCCCTTTGTTTGCCTTATTTCTCATCTATATACAAATACACGTTAATGATGCCTTTGTTAATCATTAGGAAAGTATACAGATGATCATGATTTATTATCACCAATATTATTACCATTATTATTGATACTATCCTCATGATCACCGTCATTTTCAGTGGACCGTATATGATAAATAATTTACCATTTGGTATAATATTAATTATATCCCACGACAACTGTTTAACTAAAGTCTTAATGAACAATATAGTTGACTATACTTGTATTATTGTTATTATTGTTATTCGTCCCTTGGTTTCCTAGTGGAACATAGGACTTCAGTAGCACGTCGCCATTTCACTCCCTTCTCTACAGTCTTCTCTTTCAACCTGGCTCCACCACTCCCCACTAGCTTTCATTTTTTCCTCACATGATCTCCTCCATGTCACCCTTACCTCGGACGCCCAATTCGTCGTTTCTCATTTGGCTTCCACTCGAGGGCCTGGCCTAGTGCATGATGTATCCAAACCGTCATCTCAGTCTGTGTCTAATCCAATCCAGTCCATCTCCACTTTCTTATTCTGCTTATGTGTTGGGCACTAGGTTGTTGGTTGGTTCGTTGTCAGGCCACAGTTTTTTGTTGCTTGTTATTATTATTATTTTGGCCATCTGCTCCATCTTCAGTATCCAGCATAGGCAGCTGTTGATGAATGCCTGTAGTTTGTTAGAAATGCTTTTCATAACGCACCAAGTCTCTCATCCAACACATAGAAACACTGACTTACTGTTGAAAATCCGAATGTTGTTCACGCTTTATGCTGAGTGCAGTGGAGTGTAGTAGATCCCCACACTGGTTATTTCAGAATAATACAGGAAGGCCTATCTTGCTGTCTTTCCAATCCCGGCAGGCTATGACATCGTCATGTGTGACTGTGCCACCTGTAGTTGAAATGATGTTGTCCAAGTAGGTAGGTGAGTGAAAGCGACAACTTCCTTTAGATTCCTGCCACTGATGGTGATTGGTGCTTTTTCACTTGAAGCATGTCCCATCTTTGCTGCCCTGCCTCGTCCCTTTTGTCAACTTGTTATTTTTCGTTTGTAGATCTTCGAGTTTGTCCTACAAGACATTAGACATAAATCATTATCGTTGGCGAAATCCAAATCTTTTTTTGGGGTTTTTCATCGGTCAAGCAGCGTGTGCCCCTCTTCTCGCTCCTCACAGTCTGGTGTTTGATCCAGTCCAGTCGACCACAATGGGGAAGGTGATCGGTGATAGTAAGCGGTAACTTTGTCTCACTCCTGTCTTCACTTCAAAGGCATGGTTGAGCTTTCCATTGTGAATGACTTGGCATGTATCGTCGTTATATAGCATATAGCTGTTGAATAAGGTTAATAAAAGTTTGTGGAAGTAAAGAATTTTTACTCAGCATAGACTTGATTGTAGTGTTGAAAGTTTTTAGAACTGAGCGATAAGTGAGATTTGATAGAAGTATCTCTCTTCTACTTGTGATTGTTAAAAGTCACCTCAGTTAGACCACTGCCTCCCACTAGTTGACTGTTCATATTCAGTCATTTCTGCTGTGTTTTACTGAATGTGGTACTTGAGTTTAAAAGTTCCACAACTGATTTATATGATTTTGCTTGTATCTGCTAGTTGTTAATTCGACTGACTGCAAGTGGCTACTCCATATTAGATTTCTTATTTGCTATAGCTAACACACAGTGATACAGTATTATTTACTGGATGATGTTTCATATCTAAGCAATCATATACCTTTCAAACTTCCCCTTATATAACCCAACAGTTAATTATTATTTCATTTTAACCACAGTTAAATATCCCAGATACCTGGAATGTGAGTTATATGCTGGTTGATTGAATGAACAAACATTCTATGATCAATCTCTCCATCCCTCTACCTATATATGATTTTAGAATTGTCATCCTACACCACTGTATAATAGGTCATTAGGACCAGACGGATTAACTCTTGTGGTATACAAGGATGGTGGTAAGGTGCTCTTAGTCAGGTTAACCGAAGTGTTAATTAGTACATGAGAATCAAGTACGATTCCTTCTGACTGGTCTAAATCACTGATTATTCCAGTCTTCAAGAAAGGCGAGAAGTCCTCTTGTAATAACCACAGAGGAATAAGTCTGACGAACATAGTGTCCAAGATCCTAGGTTCTGTAATTCCTCGACACCTAATTGGAGCTCGGGAACGACAAGCCCGAGAAAACCAGACGGGCTTTAGACCCCGCCGCGGGTGTATCTACCAAATATTCACACTGCACCAGGTTCTGGAACACAGGCACGCTTACCGGCGCCCGACACTAGCTGTATTTCTCGACGTGAAGATGGCGGCATTCGACTCCGTTGATTGAGAAGTCTTATGCCAATGTCTCACATTGAAAGGCGTGCAGAGTAACCACATCACCTTATTAAAGGCTATCTACTCGATCACTTATGGGTGTGTTAGAGCCTATGATGAGATGTCCAGGGAGATGCACTCGTCAAGTGATGTCCGTCAACGGTGCCCACTCTCTTCATTCTTGTTCAATTTTATCATAGATATTTTTATGGAGGTCTCATTCTCGTCACCTGATTACACAGAGGTTGACCTAATCGGTGGAGGATCTTCGTTAGACCTAGAATATGCAGATGACATGATGTAGTTCTGTTCAGTGAAGACGCTGACTGATGAGATGCAGAGTCTCGTGAAGACTTTGAGTGGGAATTTGAGAATGTTCGGTATGCATTTCTCACCACCGAAATGTAAATTGTTGCCTTACGAATGGTGTTCAACGGTGCCACGGCTAACAATAGAGAGTTTAGTGATTGAGTGTGTTGACCATTTCACTTGCCTAGGAAGTGGGATCAGCCCAAACCTGGTTGCCTAGTGGCCGATGAAATCTCTGCACAGGTACAAAAGGCTCGATTGGCTTTCGCCAACTCACGCCATCTATGGCGCCACCGTGATATCCGATTGTCTATTAAGGGACGTGTGTACTGCACAGCAGTCCGCTTTGTTCTACTGTATGACTGTGAAACACGGCCGTCTGCCTCGTTGCATAATGGTGGCCAAAGTAGGTTCAGGCTTGAAAATGGCTCAAGGTGGCGAGACTAAAACATGACGTCATTGTATGAAGTCACTGACTGTTGGTTTGAGCCATGTGGAGCGATGGAGATTGACTGGTTGTGGTCCATGGGACAAGAGAAACCAGTGGTTGTTGACTGACTGTAGGTGATGACATGTCTGAGAAGCGATGTGAGTGGCGGAGATGTATCCCCACACACACATTGTCCTCATCTTAACGACGCTATACCGAATGTCACCACTTTCTCATCCTTCGTTTCTATTTTTTCTTACTTTATATTTCTTTTCAGTGAATTTTCTTTTCTTCTTCATCTTCCACTTCACTGCCTATTTACTTTATCTACTTATATGAAGCTTGACAATTCAGAGGGTTACGCAGTAATGCGTGGTCTTATGTTGATTTGGATAGATGTCGATTGTATCTGTCTGTCTATAGATTCATTTTGAGGTCATATACATTACTCAGAATCTTTGTTGAATTATAACCAAGCCTTGAATCTTTCTGCTACACATATATTAGTTTTCAAAAACTATCTTGTTCACACACAGGCAATATCGAGGCATCCACACAGGAGCCCATACACCAACAGAGACTGATGAATTCGGTCCAATCAACTACGATGTAATGCAAGCAATAACACTATCTTGTTCATTTCAGGAATGATAAAATTCTCTAGGATATCTCTAGGCTCTCATTCGAACTGAATCTGAAATCATCTCAATAGATATAAAGTGTTATGTAATCATCTTCAGTGGAGATACATTGTTAAGCTATTGTAGTTTGCAGTTATTCATCTATATGACTCTGGAATATCTTTTGGTATATAAATTTGCTATCTGTTGTTCTGTATGTTGTGCAGATATTCCTGATACAAAAAAAAAAAGAAGAATGTCCTATTTTGTCTATGAATTCCTTCACTTTTTCAGAGGTTCTTATTCATGATTTTTTTCTTCTGGTAGGTGGGTTTGAATAGCCACTTTTTGCGCTTAAGCTCCTAGTTATTCATTAGTAGTTGAGTTGAGGAGGTGTATTTCGTCTTATTTAGAACTCATCAACTGGATATACTTGCCTGTCAGTTGAAGAGTCCTAAATAGGATAAGACGCACACCGTGGGTCCTATTGTTAGCCACATTATCCATCATTATTAGTTTCAAGGTGTCTTATCTTGTATTGATACTAAACGTTTTTCTTTATTCATTTTCATTTTATTATAGACAACTAATCAATTATCATCATGTGTTCCTAATCCTTTTGGATTTATTCCATTCTATGATCCATTTGGATGTAGTGCAGCGGCAGCAGCAGCAGCAGCAGCGGCGGCAGCAGCGGCAGCTGCAGCAGCAGCATATTCACAAAAATCTCATACAGATACAACAACTATATGCCTAGATAATAATATGAAACAGTCTACTATGAACTCGAAATATTATCCTACATCCTTTCGAAATGGTTTAGATAATTATGATTTCAGCTTAAAGAATTATGGAAATGATGGTAAAAGAAGACGTGATATGAACTCAAATGATCATGATGCTGATGATGATGATGATGTTAATAGTAAACATACTATTACAGTGAATAATGATGAGAATAAGTTGAATACACTGTCATCGTTGTATACAAATGCCTATTATAATAATAGACATCCTTCTCCATATGATCTACACAGGCAGTATCAGTCAACAGATTCATCTTCTAGTCGTGATATGTTAAATGATCATCGTCATTCACCTGAACAAACGAATGATGCAATTGAATTATCAATGCGAGAACATATTCAATCACCGTTGGCAATATCGCGTAAGTTTTACTGTTTTAATGTATACTGTCGACAGTAAAAATTCTGCACTTATTATAATGAAATTATGTGAAATAGCTATCGTAGCCGGTATACTGATATTGTTTGGTTGGAAATGAATTAAAACTTTATTTGTTATAAGATCTAACCGATAGCTACTACCTTGACATGGTAGTTGGACTTGAATATCACGATGGCCCAAAGAGCTATACTGTCTGGAACTCCTGTTCCCTCGACGTCCTACCATACCACAAAGGGCTGTTGGATAGTGGTTAGACAAAAAGCAGTTACTATTATAATGTAAATCACTGATTTATAATGGCAATCTGGGGGCGTAGTTGCACTGCTGCTAGCTGGTTGGGAGTGTGATAGCAGTGAGGTGTTTCTCTTGGATAACCAGCAGTCCTACGCTGATGCTGCTTTCTGTATAAGAAGTGAGGAAGGGAAGGGGTTAAAAAAGGTCGGTCCCAGAAATAGAACTCTCCCATCATTCCCTGGCATGGTGATCCCTGCGACAGGGATTCACAGTTGAATTCAAAAACCAAAAGACCGTGTTTGACAGGCCTCAAGGGGATGTCCTTTGAGCTCTGTGGTAACGAACTAACTCTTCTTTTTCAGGTACTTCAGGAAAACCTAGCGTTTCACGATGTGGACAGCCGGAAAGTATCAACCGCCTTAACAACTCTATCAGCACTCAACCTTCCTCAGTTGTTATAAGATATATAAACCAATTTATAAAGCGATAACTTCCAGGTCATCGGTTCGAACCGTAGTATAATGTTAACCTTTTTCAACACTAGTTATTGCCTTAAAAGTGAAAAAAATTGTGAATTTCTTAAATAATGTTTGTAATTTAGCCTTCTAAGTGTCCAACGAATATGAATATTGGGTTAATTGAAACTAACCCTAACAAGATGAATAATTTGTCTACTCATCGCATTAGTTGAGTTTATGCAATTTCGTTGATTTAATTTGGGGGTTTGTGAGGATTTAATAATTTTTCAAGCTGGTATTTTATCATGGACTGACATCAGGTGAAGGAATATTGTAAACCTGGGAGCACTGGACAGCTGTTTTGCCCTAGTATGCGACTCCTCAGCAGTGCGCACCCATGACCCCACCCCTCCAGGGAACGAACGTAGGAGGTTCCCTGGCCAGCACGTTACCATTGAGCCAGTGGGTCGGAATCCAATGGTTCATATTTCCAACTTCGAAGCACAGGAAAAAATAAACTTATTCCTCGTTGGAATCGGGGAGACGAAATGACCTCGGTTAATGAAAGCCTTCGGGAAACCAATTGGCCGATGTGTCTTTTATCTGTCGATGAAAGCAAAAGTAAGCATAGGGACATGGAATGATGTAGAAGAGATCGTATGAGCAGTCGTGGAGCCAGATTAAGAAGACTGCAGAGAATAGAGTAAAGTAGCAACGTGCTACTGAAATCCTATGTTCCACTAGGAACCCAAGGGATAAATAATAATTATTAACAACGACTGTTTCAGATAATCAAACTGATAATGCACATATCTACTTTTTCAGAAAATAATTTGTGTATAAAATTAATTATAATGCATTATGGTGATGTAATTCAGATAGACAGACAAACCAATCCATGTCGAACCTCATGCAGAAGTGTATCGATTCAAATTCCCTTTTTTTCGCAGCTGTATAGAAAGAACAAATGATTGAGAAAAGAATGATTCTAAACTTGACAGTAGTGTACAAGAGAAAAAGGAATATGAAAATCAAGGTTGATAAAAAAATGTTTAGGCTTTGGATGATGCGAAGGAGTAAATATACCTGTGTCATTGTGATCGATTTTCAGCTATATGACAAACAGTTTCTAACCTTTTTGGTTTCTGTTATCTCAACTAACTAGATAGGCTAGACTTTCGTACAGGTCTCAAATCAATCGTCAAAGATTAAATTGATTGGTTGCCATATTTTCATCTTGTAAACCTTCTCAATAGATGAAAGTGTACAATTTATTCAATTGACTTGCCTATTTCGCCTAATACACTCTACCTAATCTCATCATTACTCAGATTGTGACTTTATTATACGTTAGTAATGCTGGAAAAGATACCTATGGTTGAAACCCTTTAGTTTTTTAATATTTTCTGTTTTCAGAGATCATGTCTCATAGCTATGTCACTGGGGTGTCCACCAAACTTCAGCTGAATCAATTCAATAGTACATATATATGACTCATATGGGATACAAGGTAGAATAGGAAGTCATTAATCTTTACCTTCTGTTCTACACTCCAACGCTTGATAGTTAAACCGTTTCGAATGTTAATTCTTATTGTATCTACTTCATTGGATGACTCATAGGTATTGGAAAGCTTTCTTTTTTCTCTTGGGTTCCTAGTGGAACATGTGGCTTCAGTAGCACACCTCCATTGCACTCTGTTCTCTGCAGTCTTTTGAACTTCACTCCACAACTGCCCACAATCCTTCATTTCTTCCTCACATCATCTCCTTCATGTCACCCTTGCCTCCGACGCCCAACTCGTCGTTTCCCATTTAGGTTCCACTCGAGGGTCTGGCCTGGTGCGTGATGTCCCCAATCGGCCTTCTCAGTGTACTCCCAATCCATCTCCACTTCCTTCTGCATATTTGTTGGGTGATAGGTTGTTGGTTGGTTCTTTGTCAGGCCGCAGTTCCTAGTTGCTTATTCTTATTATTCTGGCCATCTGATCAATCTTGAGTATCGAGTGAGTGTAGGCGGCAGCTGTTGATGAATGTATGTAGTTTGTTGGAAAAGTTTTTCGTAACGTGCCAAGTCTCTGCACCATCACATAGAAGCAGTGACTTGACTGAATTGTTGTTGAAAATCCGAATATTGTTGACGCTTTATGGTGAGTGGAGTGGAGTAGATCTGCACACTGATTGTTTCAGATTAATGAAAGTCTGTCTTGCTGTCATTCCGATCGTGGTTTTGACATGCTCGTCTGTGTCTATGCATCCTGTAGTTGAAACGATGCTGCCTAGGTAGGTAGGAGGGTAGGTGAAAGAGACAACCTCTTTTAGGTTTATCCTTAAAGGAAAGCTTAGACAAATGAAATGATACTCAGACAACGTGGAGAAGATAGTCTTGTTTACTAAATACGTTCACTTATTGTCTTTATAATATTTCTATTTCAGGTTCTTATTCAATGGAGAACTCAATAGATTCATCTAAAACATCTGAATCATTATCTACTAATCGATTATCAGGATCAGGACAAATACTATCACCAAAACCAGCTCATCATAATCTATCTCCATCAACATCATCAAGTTTCTTTGCTGTAGCAGCATGTGCAGCAGCAGCTGTAGCTGCTGCTGTTGCTTCATGGAGTGCAGCTGGTTCACCAAAAACTTCAAGTAGATCATCACATCAATTATTATCTAATCATCAAACATCATCATCTTATACCAGTAGTATATTTCCATTGAGTCCATCTACATCAATTAATAAAACGAATTTTTTAAATCATTTTCAATCAGTTAAATCACCAGGAAGTATTGGTATTCCATCATCTCCGAAAGGTAACAACAGTTTAACAGCTTCTTACTCATCTTTATCTCCAGCTGGATTGTATCAAAGTAACAATAATAATAATACTAATAGTCGAGGGTCCACTTCAAACAACTCCGCTGCTGCTAGTCCCTATTCTCCAAGGTAAGCTTTAGTCAAGAAATTTGTTTTAACTATGTGTGTATATTTGTGTATGTATCTTTGCCTCATTCTTAGTCGGTATTATCTTCATCTGATAGAGTTGTACAATCTACTTCTACTGATGTTGCCTAACAGTTGGATAAATCTGATGTTCTGTTTTGATTCAAACTAAACCCAGTTGATCTTCAGTGGAAAGATGACGAGGAAGAGAAAGCGTACATATCCAGTTGATATCAAGTTGTCTAAAAATGAACTTATATGAATGTAGAGATCATGTTGAGCTACTGCCTATCTCAACGTGCCATACTGAGGGAATTTGGATTAAGTTGGAAGAAGGTTCATTATGGCTAGACCATATGGCACCGACCTGAGCCGTGTCGGAGACAAATAGACTGACTGACTAACTGACTAAAGTTACCGAGACAATAGAAACCAGTGGTTAAGGACTGTTGGTGTTATGACTGAGAATCGATCACAATGGCGTAGATGTATTTACCCTTTGACGTCTTCTAAAGCTTGAATATTTCCACTAACCTCTATCTTCAGATTGTTTATTGTCTCATACAACTTTATCTGTTTTGATATCATCCTTTTTCTATCCACATATTCTCTGTATACTACTGTGAAGTGTAGGAACTGGTGGTGATTCTGTTGTGTGTGAGGTTCTACTCAGATTTTATCTACTGGTAAGACAATGTCTCTTTCTTTTTTTAACAGATTCCTAATCTGTTCACTATGATAGTCGTGTTTCTTTCGAAGGTATTTGATCATTACAGTTGGAACTTAGGTGAATATAGACGGACAATATCAACATAAGAACCTGGAATTACTGCCTAATGGTGCCAGTTAGTACAATTCATATCACCACACCAAGCAATAACACACTAAGATCAAAGATTTTTAAAAACAACCGGTCAAACAGAGAGAAGGAACAAATCAGATTTAGGTAGGAACAATATTTCGATACATCTGTGCGATTAAGATCGATTCTGAACCATATTGCTTACAATCTTCAATCACTGAACTTTGGTTGCCTCATGGAACTCAATCGGGAAGTCTACATTTCCTTATACACCCCCACATCAACATTCAGTGACATCATGCAATAATACCACGTTTTAGTCTGGTCACCTGTCATCTTTTTCCAACCTAAATCTACTCCAGATAAGATTATGCAACGAAGCAGACGGTGACCATGTGTATGTAACCTGAGTTGATGAAGGTTCCCAACTTTACTAACTTCTACACCTGACTTCTGAGTTACTAGCATGACAAACTCATGACACATGGTGTTTGCTGCTGATGTCCTTCATCTTCATTGGTTATGTTTTAAAGTCATACAGTAGAAAAGAGAGAGAACTGCAAGTGTTGGAAGATCTATCCCAATGTTTCATTCAGAATTTGACTGGGTAGCAGGTAAATTAACAGTAGCTGGAGGTCAACCTGTCTCTCCAGCCGTCTCTCCTGCTAGTGGATCGCAGATCCATCTTTCTCCTCTATGCTCTTACTAACTACTGAATTTCTTGCCCTCATTTCCTGTTCACTACTACCTGTCACCACTGTCTTTCACATTTCATTAGCCTTTGTGGTCATTGCATTAACTTCTTGTCAATTTACATTCGAGTTACTTCTGCACCTCACTGTTCCCGAAGCCAGTGGCATTTTGTTTACGCGCATGCACTATCTCTAATGAAGCTGATGAGATCGATTGATTATTTCCAACCAGTTTCATGGAGTCAGCTTCAGTTTTCAACGCCGTTTTTACAGTAGGTTGTACATGGCATCAGGGTTCCTCGATATGAATGACGTTGTTCTGTCTGGATAGTTTCTCACTGAAAGCAACTTTAGTATTACCATCATCGAACTGTGATCGTACTGATCTTGTTGGAGTAGTTCTTCCGTGAACATTTAGAAGCAGATATTTGCGTGATTGATGTCCAAATACGTGTTGTAGAAGGAGCGATTCTCTCTAGCAATAAACTGATAGCAGTATGTACTGTTTTGTGTCTACCATTGAGTTGAGATCAGACAGAGTCTCTCTTTATACCTGAAGTTCATGCTGGCCAGAAACAGATGGTTGTCTCAGTCCACTTGTAACAAGCGATCATCGTTATTTGTTTGCTCCGCTGGTATTCAGAAAGTGCCATCAAAGTGCCTTTCTGTTTGTCTTAGCTTACATACGTTTGAATTTAAACCATCTCCTAAGAAAATCACATCATAAACAAGCAATCAATAGTTGCCTAAGGAGAGATTTGAAAGAGACAACCATGAGTTTCACTTATTCTTTTTAGTCTACATTACACCATTCAGTCGAACAGCACAGAGATGACTTTCAACTAGGATCCAGTTGAGCAGCGAACTTTCTATCTTAGAACCTAATGTTAAACTTACTCTTACCAAGACTATGAGAATTTGAAGGGTAAATTTTAGTAATTTACCACATTCACTTGGAGAATGAAAATTTTCGCAGCTTTATATGATGATTAGTGAATTCATTTTTCGCGCTGTTCTTCTAGGAGTTACATTTCTACCAATGTTTTTAAGAGATATGAATTAGGGAAACCAACACTAACTTGCTGTTCTCTTTTGTACTGATAATTTAAAATCTTTAATTATCTTACTCATTATTTATTTTTTTTAATTTTCTTGTTTATTTAGTATGTTCGCTGCAGCAGCTGCTGCTGCTCATATGCAACTATTATCTGCCGCTGCAGCAGCAGCATCTTTTAACTCGAATTTGTCATCGTCTTCATCCATTTCTTCACATACTCTGGATAATAATAATAATGGTTCAATGCAAACAGCTCATGGTACTCCGTTTACAAATCTATCTAACCATGAATCAACTGTTGGTACTAATGCTACATTTGAAGATAATATTAGAGGGATGAAGTCTTCTGTATCAATCCCTGATTTATCAGCAACTCAACTCACTTCTTCTACTTCATCATCTTTTCAAAATAGAAGTAATAACAACAATACTAGTACCGGTAGTAATAATAATACTCCAGTTTCACCCAGCTTATGGAGACATCAACAAGCTGCAGCCGTAGTTGCTGCTGTAGCTGCAAGTGCTATGATTGGAAATTCATCGTCACCATCATCTTCATCGGTTTGTTCTGTTGTTACTGATGGCGGTCCCCTGACTACTACTACTACTACTACTACTTCTACTACTACTACTACTGCTAACACTCCACGTGGTGGTTTATTGAATCGAACCATATCTCCTGGACTATGGTCTAGTCGAAGTCACTTATTTGGCTCGAGGTAGGATATACATTACGTTTTTATATTGTTGTTCATGCTTTCCTTCTATTTTCGTCTTCTTTTTGCCTTTTCACTGCTTGTATCATTTTTTGTGAAGGTTTTGTTTCTGCATAAACTGGTATTGACTACTTACGTGTATATTGTTTAAGATTTTTGTGTCTGTTATGCATTCTCTTATCCATACTAGAATCTTATTTCATATCTATAAATAGTCGGTTCTGACCTGGTTAAGTCTCTTACTTTGGCACTGAGTAGTGACGTAGGAGTTGTAGCTCATCGCTTTAGGGAGATAGATATGTCAACCAATAGGTTAGAGGTATGAAAACCGCTGCCCCCACAGAAACAATAGGTTCGACTTATTGTTGCCTACTTCATGAATATTCACAAGGTTGCTGAGTACATTTTGATTCAATCCGACGTAGGTCTACCGTCTTATCAAAGAAGAATTGATTTGCTCATTGTTGTTTTGTAAATGTTAACAAGGAAGAAATTGACTGGTAAAATGTAGCATTGAAGTCTAACTTAGTGTTAAGCACTTAGAAAGCCAGAACTAATTCAATTACCAATTGGTACTGTAAGGTGGCAGTTGTAACCTTAATAAACTCGTGGTATAGTTTTTTGATTGGACCGAATCGATTAGCAACTATTGGCAGATAAGCTCCTGTGCGGATGTCTCAATGTTATCTCTTTTTTTTCAGTTTTCATATTAATGATGGATTTCACTGGTAACCACGATCCATCACTGATGTCGAACGTAGAGGTATAGTGTCTAAATTCAGCGCTGACGGAGTTATGATAGCGGTTGACACTTCGCAGCTACCCATATCGTTGAAGGCTAGGTCTTCTTGAAGTGCTTGAAAAAGTAGGGAACATCTACTTGAAGCCGGCAATGCACAGCCTTTTTTTATGTTACGACAATCGGCCTATATTATAGAAGATATAGTGAGACATACATTCTGGGGTTTTGGATCACCGCTTACCACTGATATCTGATCTAATCCATTATAATGCATCATCTCTTTGTTTAAGAACATGTTAAGGCTGAAAGAGGGCTCCAAGCGACCAGACTAAAATATGGCATCAATGTATGAAGTCCTTGACTGTTCATTCGAACCATGTAGAGCAATGCAGATTAGCCAATTGTGGTCCATGGGACAAGAGAAACCAGTGATTGGAAACTTTAAGTTATCTGATTCAGAACTGATGTGAGTGGCGCAGATGTATCTCCATACACATCATCCTCATCTTAACCGCTATACTTAATCTCATCATTTTCTCATCCCTCCCTTCTCTTTTTTAGTACTTACTTTGACCAATTTTCCTTCTCTTCATCTTTTACTTTATTACCTTGTCACTTGATGTGCTGATCTATGAGGTGTGGCAGCTTGGAAGGTTACGGAGTTAAACTAGATTGTATGTTGATGATAATGAACCACTGAGGGAACATGCATTTCCTAGTGGTTATGGATATCTCCCGTTGATGATTCCTAACAACCATTAGACTTATATTGACTAAATATTATGCCTTTTTAATGATGATCACTTCTTAGGAATCAGTTTTAAAGTGTGTGAGCAAGATCCACTCTCATCCCTCCACCTTCTTCATCTGCTAACATACTTTTGAATCGAACTGATTGGAGCAGCTAACGAGTCTCATGTGGGATGAAATACACCTTATGGATAGATAGATCTATCAAGAAGCAAATATATTGAACCTTAGACAAGGGTAAATCTGCTCAATTCTATGAGATTTTACAAATAGCCTGCAAACAGACGAGAATGGAAGGTTATTGTCTGTTGTTCAGTGACTAGCAGAGAATTCTAGAATGCACTTTTCATCCCGTTTTGAACTCATTCTTTGGCTGTATGCGCCTTTACCACAGTGAGTGGGTGATGTTGTGCCCAATAGGACTCGATCTCAGGACAGATCGCTTCAAATGCCAAAGCGTTATTCACTAGGCGATTGAGACACATTAGACCTATTTTGTGCTACTCAACCATCAGTGTCCATTCGTTTGACAGCCTCAACTAGTTAGTTATTCTACACCATAAAATAAGTCGGTTAGTCAGTCATGTCATGTGTCACCACATGAGTAACACAGAAGTCAGGTGTAGAGTTTTAGGGAGAAGAGATAAGTCATTTGACACGGTTGTGACTCAGATAGTTGGCTCCGACATATCTTACGTATATCTAGTCGCCGTCTGCCTCGTCGCATAATGTTGGCCGAAGTAGGTTCAGGCTTGAAAATGGCTCAAGGTGGCGAGACTAAAACATGACATCAATGTATGAAGTCACTGACTGTTGGTTTGAGCCATGTGGAGCGATGGAGACTGACTAGTTGTGGTCCATGGGACAGGAGAAACCAGTGGTTGTTGACTGACTGTAGGTGATGACATGTCTGAGAAGCGATGTGAGTGGCGGAGATGTATCCCCACACACACATTGTCCTCATCTTAACGACGCTATACCGAATGTCACCACTTTCTCATTCTTCCTTTCTATTTTTTCGTACTTTATATTTCTTTTCACTGAATTTTCTTCTCTTCTTCTTCATCTTCCACTTCACTGCTCATTCACTTGATGTAGTGATATGAGGTGTGGCAAGTTGGACCGTTAAGCAGTAATGCGTGGTTTTATGTTGAGTTGGATGGATGAATAATAAGTCCTGTTTACAGTATTATTTACTAATCTATTCATGCATTTCAGATGATACTTTTATGATCTCTTCCAACGCTTCTTCTCTTCTTTCATTACTGTGGCTACGGCTTGAAATGAAATGCTTACGTGTAATAAAAGATTCGTTTATTGTTTATCTTACGGTTCAGATACTCCTATTCTCTTTCTTAATGTGTATGTGTCAGTGTGTGCATGATAAATTGACTGTAGACTTCAGTCTCTATGACAAATTAAAGATAGATTTGAATATTGAAGGGGAGAGTTTGAAATAGTGTAGTTGATGGATGAATGCTTTGAATTAGACAATCTATCAATTTAGTTGTATAATAAATATTTTTCCCCATCCCTGCATTCCCACCTCTTCCCTCCCCTTTCCTTTTTATCCTTCATCTCTACTGTATGTGTATATCCTTATGTTCTTCATTGTTTTCAGTTAATTAATTAATTAATTTGTTCTTTACTGACTGTTTATTCGCCTCCAGTATACACATACAAACACGTCAAACATTGTTTACAACGCCTATATCTATCTATTTAACTGACTTCAACTTATACGTTTCTAAGGCTTGGTAGAAGAAGTTAAGTAAGTACAACCACCGTCGTCATCTTTCCCCTTTTCTCATCCATCTATCAAATTTACTTTCCATTTGGATATCTGTTCAATCCATTTGATTAGTGTATGCGTGATGGATTTGTGTGTGTGTGTGTGTGTTGCGGGGTTGAGTTCCAGACTTCAACAAAAATATTAATGGCGAAAAGAATCCCCTCCAAAAAAATAATAAATAAAGATGAGACAGGTGGCAAAATTTATTTTGATGGATAACAGTCCATTCTCTGCTTTTATTGGGTTTTTTTTTCCTCTTTTCATCAGTCAAAGTGATGAATATATAAAAATCAAAGATCAACAAAAACATAGAGGAAAATAAAGAAAAAAAAAGAGAGAGAGAGAGTTGATTCTCCTTGTTGATTTTAAAGCCATCTGTTTGATTGTTTTAGTTTTTATCAACGGTATTATAATGAGATATGAAAACCATAGTTATATTCATTAAGCCATTCATGTTTTTATCTACATATGTGGATGTATATGCATAAAGTTGGTTACTGATTGAAAACATATGTCTGTATGTATGTGTATGGAGTTATAGTATTCTTGGTTATTTTCACCTTACATTGAACCTTATACATTTGGATAAGTTAATCATAGCAACAAAAATATTATAACTCAATGTCTAATTGATTTAGTTATGTCTAACATTGGAATCAAGGATATGCATTACATTCTATGTTGGACCTATCAACTTGATTTACTTGCAACCAAGTGATTGATATTGTTCCCATTGAAACTCACACCTTGTATACATCCTTCATTAGACCACTGGAGTATGATAACTACCTATGATACTTTTGAATATATCTCTCCATCATATTAAACCTTTGAAAATTAGTTCAAACAGGAATGACGGCAACAGTCAACCAAAGGAAAATAAACAATAACTAAAAAACATTCCCAATCTCTTCTTTACCTGTTATTATTATTATTTGTCCACTGGGTTCCTAGTGAAACATAGGGCTTTAGTAGTACGACTCCACTGCACTCTGTTCTCTGCAGTCTTTTGAACTTCACTCCACAACTGCCCACAAACTTTCATTTCTTCCTCACATCATCTCCTCCATGTCACCATCACCTCGGATGTCCACCTCATCGTTTCCCCTTTGGATTCCACTCGAGAACCTGGCACATGATGTCCCCAGTTGACCTTCTCAGTATATGCCCAATCCATCTCCACTTCCATTTTCGTATTCGGCATATTTGTTGGGCGATAGGTTCTTGGTTGGTTGGTTCGTTGACAGCCAGCCAGCCAGCCAGCCAGCCAGCCAGCCAGCCAGCCAGCCAGCCAGCCAGCCAGCCAGCCAGCCAGCCAGCCAGCCAGCCAGCCAGCCAGCCAGCCAGCCAGAGTTCCTTGTTGCTTATTCTTATTATTCTGGCCATCTGATCAATCTTGAGTATCGAGTGAGTGTAGGTGGCAGCTGTTGATGAATGTGTGTAGTTTGTTGGAAATGGTTTTCGTAACGCGCCAAGTCTGTGCACCATCACATAGAAGCAATGACTTGACTGAATTGGTGTTGAAAATCCGAATATTGTTGACGCTTTATGGTGAGTGGAGTGGAGTAGATCTCTACACTGATTGTTTCAGATTAATGAAAGTCTGTCTTGCTGTCTTTTCGATCGTGGTTTTGACATCGTCATCTATGGCTGTGCCTATGCAGCCTGTAGTTGAAACGATGCTGCCTAGGTACGTAGGTAGACAGGTGAAAGAGACTACTTCGTTCAGGTTTCTCCCGTTGATGGTGATTGGTGCTTGTTGTTGCTGTTGGTTGGGTATCTTCATCACCTATTTTTTCTCTACGTTCACCTTAAGGAAGTCCTGTCTCCGCTACCTCTTGTGTCAACTTGTTAGTTTTCGACTGTAGATCTTCGAGTTTGTGTGACAAGACATTAGACATAAATCATCATCGTTAGTGAAATCCAAATCTTCCTCCGTGGTCTTTTCATCGGTTCAGCCACCGTATATCCATCTTCTCACAGCTCCTCACGGTTCGCTGAATGATCCAGTCCACCACAATCAAGATCATGGGTGATAGTAGATGGCAGCCATTGTCTTATTCCTGTCTTCACTTCGAAGGTGACACTGAGCCTTCCACTGTGGATCGCCTGGCATGTGGCGTCTTCATACAGCTGTTGAATGAGGTTGATAAATATTTGTGGTACTCCATAGTGTTGAAATGACTGCCAAATTACTTTTTGGTCGACACTGTTGAACGCCTTTTCAAAGTGGATGAAGTTGAGGTAGACAGTTGACTACCATTCTATACTCACTGTTCATATAAACTTTCATTGAATGTCTTGCATAGATATTTGTAATGTTACTATTTTGTTTGAGTGTTATTTGATTGGTTGTTTGGTGAGTGCGTGGGTGTATACTAAACCTGTGAAACCAATGTCCTCCTGATGGACTGATGTTGATGTTATCTAGCATGACATTCAAACGTTTGCGCATGAAAAATCTTAGCTCAGAGAATGACTTATTCTAAACATAGATTTACCTGTAGGATTATTCATTGAATGAAGTTGAAAAGATTTTTTTTCTCTGTCGAAGTTGCCTTTAATTTTCCCTATATTCATGTAACTCATTTCATCTTTTTTATTAGGGAAAAAAATTCCCTTCCTTTCGTATAGAAACTCCACCAGTCTTTTAGATATTAGCTGTTTATAGTGATGATAGCTGACTTTGAGATCTAGCATGTACGTTTTGTCCTGGTCGATATTCGTCAGGCGGATATACCTGTTCCCACTCAGACTGGAATCTGATGCCCATCTTTTTAACTTGGATAGTGTTATTCACTAGCCTGTTTACCTACGATAATGATTGATGTTAAAGTTTTTAGTTTTCAATCGTTGATTGAACTACAATGATCTACCTATCTTGGCATAGATACTACTAATTTACCAGTAATTTCCATCGCCTGGTTAAGTAGTTCACTAGTTACTAGCTAGTCCTAAGCCCGGAAAAAGAGGGAAGGTTGGACATAAGGCTAGCAACCCTACCCCGGAAAACCAATCCAATCGCTAAACAAACTTCAAAGCACGAAGAAAATACAAAAAATAAAAAGAAACTTATTTCTCACAGGAATCGGAGAGATGAAATGACGCCGATTGGTGAAAGCCTTCGGGAAGCCAATTGGTCGATATGTCTTTTCTCAATGAAAGCGAAAGTAAACGTGGGGACATAGAATGTCTGCACTATTTTGAACGTAGCAAGGCTGGCCAGATTGCGTAAGGGATGAGAAGATATTGCATGGAAGTGCTTGGAATCTGCGAAAGCAGATGGAATGGAAGTGGACTCTCCCAACTGTCAACTGGAGAATCAATAATCTACTTGGATATTGTCACCCAGACGACAACCATGAGCACTCAAAAGGAAGAAAAGTCACAATCATTCAATGCTACGCTACACACCTACAAATAATGAAGATCAAGAGAAGAAGGAGGAATTCTACAGATAATTACAACCAGTAATAGACAAGACTCCAGTTGGCAGTATCAAAATTCTAGTGGATGACATGAATGCCAAACTGGGAGCAGACAACACAGGGAGAGAATTCATCATGGGTCGAGAAGCACTCGGTGAAATGAATGAGAACGGAGATCCGTTTGCAGATTTCTTCGCATTCAACGATTTGGTGATTGGAGGCAATGTGTACAAACACAAGGATCAGATGGCCAGAAAGAATCAGCAAAAAGGAACTCACTCTGGCAACAAACCGACTAAGAGGCTATCATCCAACAAATACTCTGAATAAGAAAGTGGAAATGGATTAGACGTACAGTAAGAAGACGGTTTAGGGACATCACGCGTCAGGACAGGCCGTCGAGTGAAATCATAAAGGAAAATGACGAGTTGGGCATTTGACGTGAGATTAACATGGAAGAGATGATGTGAGGAAGAAGTGAAATCTTCTGGGCAGTGGTGGCACCAGGTTGAAAAGACTGCAGAGAAGAGAGTGGGATGGAGGTGTGCTACTAAAGCCCTATGTTCCACTAGGAACCCAAGGGAAAATAATAATAATACCAGTAATTTCAGTTGGGTATTGATGATGAATAGTGGCTAGCAGCAAAATCATCATATTTATTTAAGCGTATCATTTCAATACTGTCCATTCCAACCAGTTGCATTCGATCAATGTTAGTCTAATAATGATTGTAATTAATTTGACGAGATATGCTTTATTCTACTTAAATAATGTGAGAGTAGTTTAGTTTACAAAAGGAATTTTTCAGTTCTTAAATTTATTCTATTTCGACAAAACAATAAGAAGACGTAAATTGTCTGAACCGTGTAATGTATTTGCGCAAACACATTTCGAACTATCGGATCACACACGTACTTGTCATAGGTATTTATATAAAAAATCATGAAGATAAGGGGTGAGGAAATACCGAGGATACTTTAGAAGATGAAAGAGGAACACTGACCGATATTTTGTTGGAAAATAACTATCCATCAACATTTATCAGGCGGAACAAAATTAGCAGAGCGTCAAAACTAGAACTGCAGTCAGTCCCAAAGAAGGATGTCTTCATCAGCCTTCGTACAAAGGTGACTCTCAGAGTGCAATCCTTAAGCAGAGACTTAACGCTGCTGTTAGAAGGACTTACTATGCAGCCAGGGTTCGAGTAATCGAAACCACGAAGCCCGTATATTCCCCCAAACCCCCACAGCATGCGAACGATAATTTCACATCTCATTGTATCTACCAATTCAAATGTACATGTGGTGACACATACATAGGGAGGACTAATAGATCCATGCAAGTAAGGGCCTCGGAACATATTCCAAAGTGGCTTCAGAAGCAAATTAAAATCACCTGAACCTATAAATGTTGGTAGCAGACGTCCAAGTTCTTCGATAGCCAAACATATCGTTGAGACAGATCACAAGATTGATGTGGCTACTCCCTTTACACCTATTTACAAAACATGTTGGGGAGGGATCCTGAAATTTTTTGAAGCCTTAGCTATAAGGAGGTTGAAACCACCTTTATGTGTTCATAAACAATTTGTTGTCACATTAAACCCTCCTTGGTAAATTCAACTATTGAAAACCAAGTTCGATGTACTATTTTTTTTTTCGCTGTATTGATTTTCATTGTTATTCGGCCTTTAAGTCAGCCTTCCTACCTGACCCCCTTTTTATTTTCTCACCCCTTATCTTCATGAGTTTTTTATATAAATATTTATGACAAGTACGTGTGTGTGTGTGATCAGATAGTTCGAAATGTGTTGCGTAAATACATTACACACGGTTCAGACAATTTACGTCTTCTTATTGTTTTGTCAAAGTTTATAAAGGGAACTAATTGTTTTATTCTATTTCACTTTTAAAAGCCAATTTTATGATTTATTCCTTTATTTCTTTCGAATTGATATAGATCTCGTGATCGTAGATGTTTTGAATTTGTAAAAGTGTTAACTAAATGAGGAAATCATAATTATCTCAATAATACTTATATTGGTAAGAATAGAAAAAGTCAACTTATCACATTAGAAAAGAATAGAAAGAATAATATTTCAATTAACAAAGAAATAATTATTGATGATATAAAAGATAATAATAATAATATAAGGAAAAGACTGCAGAAAAGAGAGTGGAATGGAGGTGTGCTACTAAAGCCCTATGTTCCACTAGGAACCCAAGGGAAAAAAAATAATAATACCAGTAATTTCAGTTGGGTATTGATGATGAATAGTGGCCAGCAGCAAAATCCAAGGTGCATATTTCATCATATTTATTTAATCGTATCATTTCAATATTGTCCATTCCAATCAGTTGTATTCGATCAATGATTGTAATTAATTTGACGAGATATGCTTTATCCTACTTAAATAATATGAGAGTAGTATAGTTTACAAAAAGGAATTTTTCAGTTGTTAAATTTATTCTATTTCACTTCATTCCTTTAGATCTCGTGATCGTCGATGTTTTGAATTTGTAAAAGCGTTAACAAAATCAGGAAATCATAATTATCTCAATAATACTTATATTGGTAAGAATAGAAAAAGTCAACTTATCACATTAGAAAAGAATAGAAAGAATAATATTTCAATTAACAAAGAAATAATTATTGATGATATAAAAGATAATAATAATAATAATAATAATAATAATATAAAGAAATCAAATCATTTATTAACTTCATCTTCACCATCATCATCATCATCATCATTGATAACATATTCAACAAAGGGTATACATATTAAAAAACCATTGAATGCATTTATGTTATTTATGAAAGAGATGCGTTCACGTGTACAAGAAGAGTGTACATTAAAAGAATCAGCTGCTATTAATCAAATTTTAGGTAAAAAATGGCATGAATTATCTAGAGAAGAACAAACAAAATATTATGAAATGGCTAGACATGAAAAAGAATTACATCAACAATTATATCCTAATTGGTCAGCACGTGATAATTATGCTTATCATGTTAGACATCGTAAACGTAGACGACATTTATTTCATAAACATGCTATACATATTAAAGGTACACATTATAATAAATCAACTAATGGAATTGGAATATATTCATCTGATAAATTATTATCAACATCATCATCATCATTATTATTATTGAATCATTCAAGTATATTGGATAAGTGTAAATGGGATAAAGAAAGGAATAATAAATCATTATCTTGTCAACAACAACAACATAATTATAATCATTCTCCAATTAATAAATATTATTCTGATGAATTATTATCTCCATTAATTGGAAATCGATCAAAATTGAAAATTAGTCATATTTCAGATGATACTAACCATTATCACCATTATCATAATAATAATAATAATAATAATAATAGTAAATGCCTATCACCGCCTCCACCATCAGAATTATTTTCTAGTGATAAACAAATACTCTTGAAGGTGAATTCACCATTTTATCGAAATCAAAATCATTCCTTTAGTATAACACCGGTGATAACAACATCATCACCATTGTCATCATCATCATCATCATCATCAGGATTGTTGACACAGCCTACTACTACTACTACTACTACTACTACGACGACGACGACGACACCCATGACGACTACTGTTAGTCATAGTTCAGATGTATTTACAAAATTATCTTCAATGATACAATCAGATGGTAGTTTATTTACTAGACAACATATAAAATGTATTGATGAAGTAAATTCATTAATTTATAATAAAGAATTATTAAATGGTAATGATAAAAAAGATTATCCTGTTGGAATAGATGGTTTCAACAGTTTACCAACAACAACAACAACAACCACAACGACGACGACGACGACGACGACGACATCGACAATGATGATGAATAGAAACGAGAATCAACAACATCATCATATCAATTCAAATGTAATTCATCCATTTATTACTCATAATATTACTAATAATTATAATAAATCAGATAAATTTAGACGTATGCATATATTGAATAGTAAATCTTTATTAGAAATAATAAATCTGATATACAATTGAATAATTTAAATAATACAACTTTATCTAGTGGAATAATAAACACTTCTTGTTCTACTTCATCAAGTATACTTTCACCTAGAAATGAAGAATTGAATAAACTGCATAATGAAAGTCATCAATATAATTATCATTTTGAGAATAATAATGATAAATCAAATTTATTTGAACATTCTATAAATTTGCCTTTTTTACATTCTGATAAATATGAAATGTCATCATTGTATCGACGACCACCACCACAATCATCATCATCATCATCATCATCAGCACATATGAATCCACTTTCAACATTGTATACTTCATCATCATCATCATCATCATCATCATCACCATCTTTATCGTCTTTAAATGATTATAATAGATTGATATATTGTAAAGATCAATCATATTTATCATCAAAATTTACTGGAATACCTAATGATTATCATCAATCGAATTATCGATATTCATCAATATTTAATAATCAATTACCTGAAATATCAATATCTTGTAATTATAATAATTATCCTAGAACAATTTCTTCACAATATATGCCTAAATTTAATGTTATCAATAGACATAATAATTTATCAAAAGGTATAAATGATTTATTAACAAATAATTATTCATGTATAACAACTAGTGTAACACCAATGGTTACAGGTATAACAGTTGGAGAATTATCAGGTGGAAATTTAAAGAAATGTCGTGCACGATTTGGTCTTGAACATCAAAATATGTGGTGTAAACCATGTCGGTATGTTTATAGTGTTTTTATACTTTGTTCACTTCACTAGTATATATATTTCACTCTGTTCTCTGCAGTCTTTTCAACCTGTCACCACAACTGCCCACAAACTTTCATTTCTTCCTCACATCATCTTCTCCATGTCACCATCACTTCGGATGTTCACTTCATCGTTTCCCCTTTGGATTTCATTCGAGAACCTGGTGCTTGATATCCCCAGGTGGCTTTCTCAGTATATGCCCAATCCATCTCCACTTCCATTTTTTTTGGGCGATAGGTTGTTGGTTGGTTGGTTCCCACAGTGAGTTCCTTGTTGCTTATTCTTATTATTCTGGCCATCTGATCAATCTTGAGTATCGAGTGAGTGTAGGTGGCAGCTGTTGATGAATGTGTGTAGTTTGTTGGAAATGGTTTTCGTAACGTGCCAAGTCTCTGCACCATCACATAGAAGCAGTGACTTGACTGAATTGGTGTTGAAAATCCGAATATTGTTGACGCTTTATGGTGAGTGGAGTTGAGTAGATCTCCACACTGATTGTTTCAGATTAATGAAAGTCTGTCTTGCTGTCATTCCGATCCCGTCACCGCCTGAAACTGAAACGATGCTGCCTAGGTACGTAGGTAGACAGGTGAAAGAGACTACTTCATTTAGTTTTCTCCCGTTGATGGTGATTGGTGCGTTTTGTTGGTGCTGTTGTTGTTGGTTGGTTGGGTATCTTCATCACATCCGTCTTCTCTACAACAATAATATTCTGGTATTTGTCAACAGGTATATATCCTTACTATCTCATGTTCTCCAAGTAACTATGTGATAACTGTCTATCTCAGTGGTTCAACTATAAACGAATTCTATACATGAAGTGATCAGATATACCTTTATGCGTGATTATATTTTGCACATTACTGAAAGTTTTCAGGAGATTGACATTTGCCGGCTGACCAAATCATGAGAGACTATTTCTTCTTAAAACCATGGGGCGGGAATGAGTGTGCCGTTTTTTGCGATAGCCTTTTTCTTAGCCCCCTCTATTCCCAACATCATCGTTGCATTACTGATCATTCATAGAAAATAATTTACTGCAGTCACACCCCCATCTAACAAGCAGCAACAGAGATGACATACATATTCCACCTCATATGCCCTATTGTACCTATTGAAATGATCAGTTTGACTATCTGAGATAAAAGTCGTGGTTTGATGAACTTGTATCGTTACTGCTGGGTTATTGAAAGTGAAATCAGAATGTGGGCCACGGGGGACCGACCCGGTACTGTACCAGTTGAGCTAGAAGATATGATTACTGATGAGATCCTTATTTCTTTTCAGTCAAAAGGTGGGGTTTTGTCTGACTACTATATTAATTCATCATGCGTCACTTGATCGTACTCACAATGACTTCTTGGACAGCCATAACTTCTTACTCCAATCCAAACCTACTTGAATTAGCAATGTAAGGAGCATTATATTGATTATGACGTTGACTGTCTTAGACAACTGTGGTATGTTAGACTTGGATTATTGATACTGGGATGATGATTGAAGTTGAAATAAAACTCTGTCCAGCAGTCGGGTTTGATGACTCGGTTAGTAGAGAACCGAGCCAGAAATCGGGTGGTCATTAGTTCCCTGAAGAAGCTGAGAGTCAACTTTATTGTGAAATACTGTGAACATATGCAAATATGAATTATGTGTATGCTATGATGCGCATCTCATCCTATTTAGGACTAACTCGTCAGCTGGATGTACCTGCTCCACCCCAGTAAGTGATGTTGTTCCCGCAGAGACTGACCTCACACCCATCACTTCAGATGCCAAAGCGTTATTCACTTGGCCAATTAGGCAAGGATATCATTTATTGTTGCTATGATACTTGTAATTTTCCGTTGCTATACATAACTGAATGGCTCGACCTCTGTCGACAGATGAGCTTCTATGCGGATGCCTTCATTCTGCCGGATATTTATGATGTTGTAATGATCTTGCTGACTAACGGAGGAATCTAGGACTAACTCATCAGCTGAATGTACGTGCTCCACGCCAGTTAGTGATATTGTTCTCGTGGAGACTCTGTCCTTGTACCCATCACTTCAGACGCCAAAACGTTATCCACGAGGCTATTGAGGCAAGATAACCATTGCTTGCGCAAAGAGTTTTATTTCCTTTATAAAGGAAAAAAAAATAGATTTTTCTATTCTAATATAGTTAAACTATTTTTTTTTGAATTTTTTTATTATTTTTCTAATAGTCGTAAAAAGAAGTGTATTCGTTTTATTTCTGAAATGGAATCAGAAGATATTTCAATTGGAGGAACACAACAGACTGGAAATCATTCATCATCAACAACCAATCAGATAGCTCATTTTACTAAACATGGATTGGCTAATTTTATAGATCCATTTATTCATCCTATACATACACCTCATTCATTAAATTTATCTAGTCAATCATCAAAATTTCATTCATTTCCATCATCAGGATTTTTATATCCATCATTAAATTTAAATACTACTGAAATAAATAAGTCTACTTCATTGTCTAGTTTTAATTCACGTTTAAAATCTCATGTAATATCTGATGGATATACTGGTAAATCATCTGCATTTATCAAGCCATTGTATTCATCATATTCAAATCGTGTTCTAGATGGTCTACCACCGCCACCGCCACCGCCACCACAACCATCATTATCAGTGACGGATTCATATCATCCACATAATTCAACATTGGAACAGTTAAATTTCAAATTTACTCCATCCTCTTCCTCCTCCTCCTCATCATCATCATTTTCTTTACCTACTCGATCATCTTCACTTACGTCTACTAATCATACATCTCAGTGTTTATCTGATAGATATAATAAATTGGATTCATTTGATACATGGAATACTGATCATATGAATAGCGTGAATAATTTCTATCCTAATTGGTCTGAATATTCATCAGCCTTTAAATTATCATCATCATCATCATCAATAGTTACTAGGAGTATACCATCTATCACTTCAATATCTAATATATATCATTCAAATGATCCTATTAGAAAACTTAATCAAAATCAACTATATGAAAATAATCTATCTGATGATAATATTAAATTTAATGTAGAAAAATATAAATTATCTTCATCATCAATATTAAATCAGAATACATTAATTGATCCGTATTGTTTATCATTGAATAAATCTTCATCAATGATTGAAAAAATGAATTGTACAAATGATACAATTTGGAAATCTCCTACTTCATTATCATCAATTACAGAATCGATTAATATGAAATCAATTATTGATTATCAGTGTATAGAATTGGAGACAACATCATCACCACCGCTACCGCCACCGCCACCACTAACATTAGTAGAAGTTAATTCTACTGAACCTCCATCTAAACGTGTATGTAATTCTCCATTGCATACATTTAACACTTCATCTATTGATATTATTGTATCTACTGATAATAGTGTTCATAATAATAATAATGAGAATTCAGCATTGTATAGTCATTCTACTAGTACTACTAGCCCTATTAGTACTTCTACTTCTACAACTATTGTGTCTTCAATGATAACAACACATCGTAAATATGGTGAATCTGTTCGATTTGGTGTAGCTGATTTCATGGGAATAAATGATGAAATTGTAGCCAGTGTTATCGACAATAGTATTGATGATAACAATAATACCACCACCATCACCATCACCACTGCCACCACAGATAATAATGCAACAACAACAACAACAATAACTTGATTGTAAACGAAATTGATAAGTTATAAGTTATAATTATCTATTCCACCTATTAATGTTGATGAAATATGCTGTTTGTTCGAGTTTTTTTTTCTTCTGACAAGTATTTCCTCCCCCCCCTTGCATCTCTTTGTTCTTGGTTTAGGTTTTGAAGATTCGACCTATGTGTGTATGTGTGTGTGTATAGGCCTAAGTAATTCTGTCTTTTATGCACAGTCTAATGAGTAGACAAACTGAAACACTCTTCATAGTGAACGATATACCTTCCTCTGATTATAATCAATATTTATCATCAACATTATCATTACTGTTTACAACAGTATTGTGTTTTGTAAGTTTACTCAAATGATGTAACTTGACGCTGTTTTATCTATCTCATATTTTATTATTACTACTACTACTACTATTAGCAGTAGTATTGGTAATAATGATGCAATTAGTAGTGTCATCACTGTTATTCCTGCCGTTATCATGATCATCACCATGGGTATGATGACTACAACCAATGTATTATCGATTGGATGAATGTATAAAGATTATCATCTACAACATCATTATTTGATTACTGATATTGTCGTTCCTATTGGTATTGTATATTTTTATCTCAAAAATGTTTATTCTTTCCTTTGGATATCCATTTTCTTAAGCCTGGAGGGGGGCGGGGGAGTTTTTTCGTTTTGTTTTATGCCTACATTGTTGTACTTGATGTGTACTTGTTAATTTGTAATCAAGTTTTCACAGGGTTTTATTTATTTACTTTTTTTTCCAGCTGTTTTCCTCTGTCTCTCCCCCCCTCTCTCTTTTTCTCCATCTTTGAGTCGCTAAGTGGACTAGTTTTCTGTAATCAATAGATATCAGTAATATAAACTATGGGCAGCTGAATTTCATTTCTTATCCTCCTATCACTTTATCAATCAACTGTATAAATTGTATCATAGTAATCATCATCATCATCATCATTATAATAACGATACTACTTATACTATTATTAGTTAGTAGTTACTATGACAGTAGTAATTAAGAAACAAACAGTCACTTTTATTTCTTTCTATTGGTTTCTTTATTTCTTTGCCTGGATTGATTAGCTTCCTGTCGGTGTTTTCTTTTGTCAACTCTCTTCCTCCTTGAATTCGTATATATATATATATATATATATATATATATATATTGCATTAGATAAACTGCCGTTTTCTCTATCTCTTTCGTTTTCTCAATATAGTGGGTGTTAAAGAGATGATGAAGAAAATCTGAGAGATAAAACATCTAAACACATCGTTTATTTATTCCTTCATAGTTTACACTATATGTTTATCAGTCAGTCAATTAGTCAATTAATTAATTAATTGACTAATTAACTAACCAGTCATTGAATTGGAATTATAATTCCGATATAGAATCTTAATAATGATTGAAAGACCAAGAATCATGACTAGTGGATACAATTATTATCATTATATGTACAATTTACTTCTGTCATGCTTACTGACCATTCGAGCTATTATATACTACTAACAGTGATGTAAGTATTAATGGTAGTAGTAGTGAAAATTTTATTCCTTATCACCATCATCACTGATATTGTTCTTGTCGACTGATAACAAAGTTTTTGTTGTTGTTGTTGTTATTGTTATTGTTGTTGTTGTTGTCGTCACCGCTTATTCCTCTTTTTTCTTGTTTTTATTACTTTTTCATTATATAATAAATTTATTAAATGATAGATAAAAGCGAAGATACGGTGCATTTCTCTTTATTATCTAATAATTCTCTGTTTTAATCGTCTTTTACACCTTTTATATCTATGCAATTTGTTATCAAAGCAAGATAACAGTTGATTTCATCTCCTGGTTCAAAGAGTTTATTATTACTACTATTATTACTATTATTATTATTATTATTATTATTATTATTATTATTATTATTATTATTACCGAGAGTACATGTCACTATTCTCCTTTATCACATCTGCACATACCGCATACATACATAAGTAATAAGACAAGAATATGAATACAAAATTACTTCTGTATGTTACACTTTTGGTTAACAACTAAATTGTTGTATTAAGATGAAAAAAAGAAAAAAAATTGTATAAAATAATTTTTATTATCGAAAAATTCTTTTTTCTTTATAACAACTTTTAGATAATAATTAAAATCAATAATAATTGGTTTTATTTCAGCGATGTCTTTATCGATTGCGGTTATCATTATACTAATAAAAATATTACTATAGTGAATTTAATCTTCTCTCGGAAAACAGGGTCATATATACATATATATATTATATATGTATATACTAGTAGATATACTTTCACTTTTCTCTTTTTCTCATTTTCTATCTCTCTGAAAATCAGCTTTAACAGTTTATTCTTGTTTCAATGTTTATTTTGAGTTTCTTTTTTCAACTTGGCGTTCTCTCTTTTTCTTCTTCAATCTTTTCAAAGTGTATATGTATAATAAAAGGTGTATGAGAATAAAGTTCTGCCTACCTATTTACATCTATAATATGAATTTAAATGAGTAATGATAATAAGAATCTGAAAAAATTTGATTATCTTTAAAAGGGATTGGTTTAAAACTTATTCGCGTTCATGAGTACAGTATAAGAAGTAAGTAAGCTAGTAAGTGGAGTAAGCCAGTCACAAAGCAAGTAGGGGAGTAAGAAAGTAACTAGGTTAGCAAGCAAGCAAATATGTAAGTAAGCTAATAAGCAAGTAAGTAAGTGAATAAGCAAGCTAAGTAAACAAAGTAAATGAGCAGGCAGGTAAGCAATTAAGTAAGTGAGTAAGCAAGTAATAAATTAGGTAAGATAGTAAGCAAGTAACTAAGTTAGTAAGTAAATAAGCGAGTAAGTAAGTAAGCAAGTAAGTAACCAAGCAAGTAAGTGAGCAAGTGGGTCAGTAAGCAAGTGAGTGAGTGTGCACGTAATTATACAACTGAGTAAGAAAGTAACTAAGTAAGCAAGTAAGCCACTAAGCAACTCAAGTGAGTAGGCAAATAAATAAGTAACTAAGTGAGTAGGCAAGTAACTAAATAGGTGAATAAGCAAACAAGTAAGTAAGCAAGGAAGAGAATAAATAAGTAAGCGACTAAGTGAGTAAGCAAGTAAGTTAGCAAGTAAGTGAGTAAGCAGATAAGTAAGCAAGTGAGTAAGTGACTAGGCAAGTGAGTGAGTAAGCAGGTAAATAAGTAAGCAAGCAAGCAAATATATAAGTAAGCGCATAAGCAAGTAAGTAAATAAATAACCGAGTAAGCAAGTAAGTAAGTGAGTGTGCAAGTGACTAAGAAAGTTAGTAAGTAAGCAGGCAGGTAACTGAATAAGTAGGTAAGCAGATGAGTAAGTTATTAAGTGAGTAAGCAAGTAACTATACAAGTAAGTACGCAAATAAGTATGTAAGCAAGCAAGCAAAAAGTAAGTAAGCGAGTAAGTAAGCAAGTAAGTAGGTTAGCAACTAAGTAATTAACTAAGAGACTAAGCAACTGACTAATTAAGTGAGTAAGCAAATAACTAAGTAAGTAAGTAAGCAAAAAGGTAAAAGAGCAAGCAAGCAAATAAGTAAGTAAACGAGTAATTATGTACGCAAATAAGTTAGCATATGGGTAAGTACGTATGTAAGTAGGTAATTAATTGAGTACGCAAGTAACCGAGTAAGTAAGAAATCAAAGAAGTAAGTAAGGAAGGAAGTAGTAAGTAAGTGAGTTAGCAAGTAACTAAGCAAGTATGTGAGCAAGTAAGTAAGCGGGTAAGCAATTAAGTAAACAAGCAAGTAAGTAGGCAAGTAAGTAAGTATGTAAGCGATTAGGCAGGTAACTAATAAAGTAAGTGGGTAAGCAAGTAACTAGGTAAGTAAGTAAGCGAATAAGTAGGTAAGCAAGCAAGCATATAAGTAAGTAAGTGACTAAGAGATTAAGTAAGTAAGTAAGTAAGCAAGTACGTGAGTAAGCCAGTAACCAATTTAGTAAATCAGCAAGGAAGTAAGCAAGTAAGTAGGCAATTAGTTAAGTAAGTAAGTGAGTAAGCAAGTAAGTAAGTAGTTGAGTGAGTGAGTGATCAAGTAACTAAGTAAGGAAGGAAGCAAATATGTAAATAAGCGAATAAGCAAGCTAGTAAGTAAGTAAGTAATTAAGTGAGTAAGTAAGTTAGCAAGTAAGTAATTAACTAAGTGAGTAACCAAGTGAGTAAGTAAGTGAGTAAGCAAGTAACTAAGTAAGTAAGTAAGTAAGCCAGTAACTGTGTAAGTACGTAAGCGAAAAAGTGGGTAAGCAAGCAAGCATATAAGTAAATAAGTGAGTAGGAGATTAACTGAGTAAGTAAGCAAGCGAGCAAGTAAGTAAGTGAGTAAGCAAGTAACTGATTAAGTAAATGTGTACGCGAGTAACTAAGTAAGTAAGCAAGCAAGTAACTATGTAAGTAAGTAAGCTAATAAGCAGGTAAGCAAGCAAGCACGTAAGTAAATAAATGAGTAAGCAAGTAACAAATAAGTAAGTGAGTAAGCAAGTTAGTAAGTTATTATTATTATTTTATTATTATTAGTCCCTTGGGTTCCTAGTGGAACATAGGGCTTCAGTAGCACGCCTCCAGTGACCTCTGTTCTCTGAGATCTTTTGAACCTGGTTCCACGACAGCCCACAAGCTCTCATTTCCTCCTCGCACGACCTCCTCCATGTCACCCTCGGACGTCCAACTCGTCGCTTCCCATGGGGATTCCACTCGAGGGCCTGACGCGTGATGTCCTCAGTCGGCCTTCTCAGTGCATGGCCAATCCATCTCCACTTCTTCCTGCATATTTGTTGCGTGATAGGTTCTTGGTTGGTTCGTTCCCAGAGTTCCTTGTTGCTTATTTTTTCTGGCCATCTGATCTTCAGCAGCGAGCGTAAGCAGTTGTTGATGAATGTCTGTAGTTTATTGGAAATGCCTTTCGTGACGCGCCAAGTCTCTGAGCCATACAAGAGCACTGACTTGACGTTGGTGTTGAAAATCCGTATCTTGTTCCACATGCTGAG